GAGTCAAAGAGAACACCTAGGCAGCGAGTCTGCGTGGTGGAGATTATGGTAGCACCATTAACGTGGAGGAAGACCGAAACGGGAGTAGCAGCAACTATAGGGAGGAATGACCAGAAGTTCTGTTTTGGACAAGTTGAGCTTAAGGAAGATGCTTTAGAGATGTTTTGCACCAGTCAAATGGGAAGGATTTGCACCTTTGTGGTTGGGAGATCAATGGCCCGGCCTGCAGGTTTTTTGTTTTGTTTGTTTTTTTGCATTATTTTTGTAAAATAAAATTCGACTATATCTACCAAGGAGTTTTAGCAGACTGGGAATTGAACTTTCTGGTTTGGTTGAGTAGTGATTTATGGATATCATCTGTAAATAGTGCAATCTTTTGTTCTCCAACAGGAGTAGACAGGCCAAAAGAACCTGGTCTGAGATTTGATGTTTCTAAGAGTTCCTAGCATAAAATAAAAATGATTGGGGAAAGGGGGCAGCAAGGACGGGTGCCATTCGTTATATGGAATGGGTTTTGACAAGAAACCAGAGTTGAAAATTCTAGCCAAGGAGCATGAGTACAGATCTGTGACACTTTTTGTAAAAGAAAGCGGAAAACCCAATCTCAGCATAGTTGCATTCATATAATCCCAGTTAAGGCAATCGAATACGTTTTCCGCATCTAACGCCAGAACCACTACTTGTTGTTTGCAATGATGTACCCAGTTAATTAGGTTAATGACGTGTCTAGTGTTATCTTCCACCTGTTTTCCCGTGACAAAACCTGCTTGCTCGGTAGAAACTAGGTCAGGTAATAGGAGTTTCAGTCTGGACTCTAGGATTTACGCATAGAGTTAAACATAAGCATTTAGGAGGAATATATGACAATTTTCCTGATTGTTTGATATAATCAAATAATTTTGTAAGGCAGTGAGAACAGATACTAATTTAATATAATAGTAGAGAACGTTTGGTTTTGGGGCCTTGTGCCTGAGGTCGGGTTTTGGGGCCTTGTACCTGAGAAGTGAAAGGATTCTTCGCCCCTGCCCCTGTATGTATGTGTGTGTGTGTGTGTGTGTGTGTGTGTGTGTATGTATGTATGTATGTATATGTGTGTGTGTGTGTATATATATATATATATATATATATAATATAATATAATTTTTATATTTTTTTTTTCTGTGAATGGATTATCTAACAAATGCGTTTGTTGTGTGAGTCCAGGCAATTCTACTTTGTTCAAAAAGCAATCTATGCTTTCTTTATTAGGTTGGGGCATTGTGGAATCATCTTTTAAGTTATCGAGTTTGGTATAAAAAAAAAAAACTAGTTGGTCAAAAATGTCATTAGGATTGTATAGGATTATATTTTGGGATGAGTTTATAAAGGGGATTTTAGATTGCTCATTAATAATGTGTTGGCTTTATTGTCTTGCATGTAGTAAGTTTAAGAGCTCTCATCTGTTTTTCTGTTATCTGTAGTGAAAATGTCTTCAAAGATTTTTGTATTTTCTCCATTTGTTTGGAAACTTCTTTAGACAGCTTGAATTTATTCTAAGAGTCCAGAAATAGTAGTTCCTAAATTAAACGTGCCCTGGTGTCACCGTTGGATTTTTTTCATTAAAGAACCAAGCTGAATAAATTTACCCCCTGTTGCGGAACGCTGGTCTCTCACAGACTATTTCCGCTGGTAGTCCAGGTGTGGCTCAGGAAAAAGTAGTAACACCAGGAGAACCATCCACAGTAATAGAAAAATCCAACAGCGTAGCAAGCACAATCAGCAATACAATCCAATAATATCCCATCACCTTTCCCAATAACTGGACGACACACAGGAGCATAACTAACTTTTAATCACAAAGTCCGCTTTTAAGCATTTCTCCCATGCAAGGGAGACACCCACAATAATTATACAGTACACCAATCATACATGAGTTGCCACCCACACATCGCCTTTTGTATGACTCATAATCCCATTATGCAGGACACAGTTCTCCTCGTTTTCTGGATGTACCCCTAAACCTAAACCTAGGGGTACAACTCTACATTTTACATCCCCTGGTAGCCCTGATCTGGGTGAGTAACATACTCAAAAATCACCCAGATTGGACCAGGGGTTCGGGAGTTATGGAGGGTTAAATGTCTGCCGTCCATGGCTATACTGGTGTTTGTGTAAATCCCCATGTTTGCGGCTCGTTCGGTAGTTTCGGCCTGAATTTATGGAAGTCTGGAGGTCTCAGCGGTTTTTGCCTAGTCGAGTGTCCGATTTTAGTTCCAGACACTTGACGACAAAACACCACCCAAAGGCCAAAGCTCACACTGCACTGATTGCCAATTATGGGTTTGCAACATTGTTGCGAACGGTAATTGGAGGCACACTTATTCCTGGGGTGGTCTGATTGTTTGGTAGTTTCACTCGTAAAATAAATGGAGTGACTTTTACACCCCCTAATGACCGCTTGATGGGTTAGCCACTGTGATGTTCTAGATTAATTCTCCATTGTTTTTTTGTTTTTTTTTGGTAGTACGGCTCCAGTTGTTTTTGGGCAATAACTTGATATAATCCAACAACGATTCATTCAGTCTCCATTTACCCCTGCCTCGGGCTGTGTAAAGGGACCAGCATGTAACTGTGACCAGGGCCTGGTCAGACCAAGACATATAGCCTATGGAGACATCAGTTATATTGGGTAGTGTTGCTTTATCTCTGCAACCCATGTCTATACAGGTATAAGTCAAGTGCACTGGAGAAAAATACATTTTCAGCAGGATAACTATTACGTCATGAGTCCTATAGATCATGCACATGAAACAAACTCGATAAATCTTGCTGTTTGTTGTTGATGCAGGAATAAGGTGTTTGCATTGTTCCCATTTAATATCTAGGTCAGGATCCAATGTGCAGTTGAAATCCCCATATATTATATATTATGACCCTGCCCTAGTGAGTTGTCTTTAGAGCTTTGCGTAAAAAGGATATGTGGGAGTTATTAGGGGCATTTAAGGAAGTAATCGTGACCTGGAATCCATTCAACGTTCCTACCAAGATCAATAAACAGTCCAGATCATCAGCATATTTCTTGAACAACTGGAACATCCAGTCGCATTGGAAAAATATAGATGACCTCTTGGTTTTGAGTGGGGAGAAGGAATGGAATTCCTTGGGATATTTTTTAGAGTGTAGTTGAGGTGGCTTGCGGACGCAAAAGTGAGTATCCACAGCCTGTGATCTATGTATTTCTTGTACTGCTAGTCATCTCTTATGTGAGCCAGGCCCTGACTGGCCATCGGGCACACTGGGCAAATGCCCGGTGGGCCGCGGTGGCCTTGGGGCCGAGGCCGGCAGGGAGATCACAGGATCTCTCCTGCCGGTCTTTGTAGGGCCGGCACTATCTGAACGCCGGCCCTGCAGTAGTCTACAGCGGGCCGCTGGGTTCCTCTCGCGAGATTCGGAGCGTTGCCATGGCAACGCGCCGGGTCTCGCGAGAGTGAACTCTAGCCCAACAGGGTAGAGTTCACTCACCACTAGGACCACCAGGGATGGATGGCAGCCCCAGCAGCAGGATCCCCCTCCCAGGCATAAGGTAAGCAGGGAGGGGGGAAATAATCACTCAGGGCACAGCAGCCTCACAGACACCCCTAACACTCCCAGCACCCTCACTCACACACACACTGCACCCCTGACACTCACAGCACCCTCACTCACACACACACTGCACCCTTGACACTCACAGCACACACACTGCACCTCTAACATTCACAGCACACACACTGCACCCCTGACACTCACAGCACAGCAGTTTTAAAGCAAACACAGTGCAAGCATGTTATTAAATTTGCTTGTGCGGTGCATAACAAATACAGGGTATTTTTCTCATGCCAGAGCTCTTCAGCAGAGCTCTGCGCATGGTCTACCCTGGAAGAGCATTGAGCCAACATGCTCACTTTGTGATGGGGTGTGCTTGTCATTGGTGATGACAAAACACACCCTATCTGGCCCCGCCCTCTTTTTAGTGGGCCGCTGTAATTAAAAAATGCCCGGGCCGAATTTTCTTCCCAGTCCGGCCCTGATGTGAGCTGTTCGAAACATTTACTTTCAGAGAAAGAATTTTAAATTGATATTCTGCCATGGTTGAGTTAAAGAGCGATAGTAGGTGCTAGGCAAAAGTAGGGCAAAATCAAACAAAATATACAGTCAACGAAGTATATACAGTTTTTTTTTTTTTGTTTGTTTTTTTTGTGGAGAAGGCAAAGAATATGACCAAAAAGGGAGTAAATGATAGTACTAACCATGTATTCAGCCTGGGTGATGTATTGAGGAACCACCAAAAAATACCCATTAAACAAAGTTTGGTGTCAACAACATGCTGAGGTAAAGATTTGTCATTTAAAAACAGGGTAATTTGAGCACTAACCAGGTTGGCATACTCAGTTGACCTCTGAGTGCAGGCATAACCAACTGCTTCAAATTCTATTGTATAGGTTAATAATTGATCTGCGCATTTTATAGGATTGATAGGCATGCGACAAAGTCCATGGAGGATGATGAGGTAGGGAGTATTGCAATAGATCCCGGATCACATAAAAGTATTTATTACCGGGGGCGGGGCCTGACCACCATGCTGACCGGTCACAGGCTAGAGAGGCTCCTGACAAATTTGGTCCCCTATGGCACAAAACTTTAACAACAAAGCAATCTGAGTGACCAGAAGCTGTCTTAAGCACCCAGGCAGAAGCCAAAGCCACCGCAGTCCCTGAGATCGGGAGTTCCAGAGCCCCCAGTGGGTGATATGGGACTTTGGGGCCTGCGGCCCATGAGGGTGGAGAGCGGGACGGACGGCCGCCGTCCTGCTTGTGAACCTGGCTGCCCGGTGGCAGCCTTGCGATGCGCCTCGCAGGCCTCGCTTCCCCCCCCCATGGACCGGGGGGGTTATCCCGGTCCCCATCGGAGGGAAACACCGCCCTACAAAGGCCCTACATCATGCCTACCTGGAGTTATGCGCTACGAGCCAGGGCACTAAAATGGCGGCGCCACGATCTGCAATGGACGACGCAACCTCGCCTGCCTGCAGACGGAACCACCTTGCTGAGCATCACCCCTACCGAACAAGCCGGCACACGATCCTGCCTTCCGACTACATGGCGAACGGGCTGGGGCTGGAGATGGAGGGCAGAGTCGACGTGAGGGGCCCACGGAAGCTCAATTCACTCTATGTCCCTGAGAACGCGTCTGAAAAAGACTGATCGATGAGGCCCACCAGCGGCACTAGCGGTAACCTTGCTAAACTACTGATCCAAGCCGATACCACAGCAACAATGCCCATTGACTACCCTCAACGCCCGCACACAACTAGGCACCGCTAACCGAGGTGCAGCTTGCCTCCAACACGAGACTCTTATGCACAGTCCCCCACGCCTCATCATCCATTCAGGATGGCTAATACCAGCCACGGACTTACCGACTACGCCATGCATCTCTCGGTGACAATGCAAAACAGACGGAACCTGCAGCACTCTGTGGACTGTAGTATGTATAGGGACAGATGTATCCACAGTGATTTCAGTCACTAACACTCACCACAGCATGTTATACCGCTATCTTAATTAAGCCCTTCTCTAGCTGCTAGCCTATGCCAGGAGCTTCGTTGGTAAGCGATCCCACATTGAATGCATGTCTATTTCTATACCTTAGATTACCTAGCCATTGGCAAGCAGTGTAAAGCTCCACGTTGCACTTACCATTTTGAATCCTCGACACCTGTAATCACAATCAGTAGGTAGCATATGGCGGTGTTCTCGCCTCTCTCCTCAAGCATTGAATACAACTAGTTCGTTAATATTTCTTACCCTATACAAAAATGTGCAGCAGTCTTAACATGTATACAGTTATTACTCATGACAACTTGTACTGCAATCCAATAACATGTTTATGTCAACCCATGTACTGATCAATGCACTACTAAAATAAAGAATAAAAAAAAAAAAGAAAAAGTATTTATCACCCAGGTATTGGGCTTCATTTTTTCTCTTATATATTAATGTCGGTAGACTTATATATAATTATATTGAAGTGCAAGTAGAATGTTTGGAATGAGTAATGGGCAGAGAAATATTACAATGTGAGCGTTATGTAACATTTGCCACTGGGTACTGAAGTCAAAATAAATAAATAACCAGTTTTCATGTCAATAAGACCGTGCAACCTGTACTCCTATACTCCATCGGCCTAGCAGCAGATAAATTGCTGGGTATTGTTATACATTAGATGTGGTCATCGTGAGGGCAAGCTGCTTCAGTTGCGAGCATGGATGATAAGCCTATTTTAGCAATTCCCTCATCTAGTGTTGGATCATCAGTGAAAATAATTAGGAAATATGCTATATAGGAGAGTGTAAAGAACTGTTGTGTGCCTAAAATCATCAGCTCATAACATTCAAACTCCGGAGCACCTACATAAGCCCACAAAATGAAGTCACAGTGACAGCCTAAAGGAACTATTCATATGAAGACCTATAAATTGATATATTTCCATGCTACTGATCAGCGTCTGCAAGGCTTTATAAACATTATACTATCTCTATGCAGATTTCAAATCAAACGTATGTTTTGTTACATATCTCCGTCTTATGCCAACGTGCATAACCAAAGTATAATCTAAATAAACTTAAGTATGGAACTAAAAGATGTACATAATACTCATGAAATCGGTAGAAGTCCCTTTATAGGAAACGTTGCTCATATTATTATTATTATTATTATTAGTAGTAGTAGTAGTAGTAGTAGTAGTATTTATATAGCTCCAACTAATTCCGCAGCACTTTACAATATTATGAAAGGAGGAAAATTTTACAATAAACGAGACAATTCTACAATGACACAGTAACAATTGGTAAATGAGGACCATGCTAAAACAAGCTTACAGTCCAGAGGAGGTGGGGAACAAAAACACAACGAGGCCGCAAGGGTGACAGTCACCAAACAAGGTGGGAAAATATCAGAACTAAAGGGGAGAGTAGAGTGTGGCTTTTTAGGAGAGCAAGAGGCAGATATAGATAAGTTACTCTGGGAGCCCATAAGCATTTCTGAACAGATGTGTTTTGAAGGACTTCTTAACCAATTGAAGAGCAAGGGGAGAGTCTGATGGGGGTAGGCAGGCTGTTTCAGAGGTAGGGAGCTGCCCACAAGAAGTCCTGCAAGTGCAAGTTAGCAGTTAAGGTGCAAACAGCAGCGGACAGAAGAAGGTCACCAGCAGAACGGAGAGACTGAGAAGGGGCATATCTATGAATCAGTAACAAAATGTAACCGGGTCTAGAGTTGTTTAAAGCTTTATAGGCAATGGATAGTATTTTGAATTGACACCTATAGAATACAGTAAGCCAGTTTAAGGATCGACAGAGGGGCGAGGTATGGGAGGCGTGATGGGTAAGAAAGATCAGCCTGGCAGCAGCATTCATTGCTGATTGTAGCAGGGGCAGTTCGGCTTCTGGGGAGACCAACTAGGAGAGAATGACAGTAATGCATGCGAGAGATTACTAGAGCATGAACAGGCTCCTTTGTAGCTTGTTCTAGCCAAAATAATGCGCTGAGGAACGGGATGGTGAACCAGCAGTCTTTCACTCTTTGAATCCTCGTTGGTGAAGGTCTCTGAGGTGAGTTGAATCCATTCAGGTGAAACAAGCCCTGTTCTTTCAACTTCGTAAGGCCTAACTCAGGTTCCAGGATAACCATTTTCTTCCTGCCATGACACACCAGCAACTTTGTAGGGTAGCCCCATTTGTACGGAATATTGTTATTGCGTAGGGTTTTAATTATGAACTCCTGTCTTCAAGCTATAGTGCTTCCAGACAAGTCTGCAAAGATGTTGATGTATTGGTAGGGTTCCGGTAAGGGAGGTAGTTTCCTTGCTGCTGCAAGGAGTAGATCCTTAGACTGAAAATAGTGGAATCTGACTATTGTATCCCATGGGGTTTGGAAGTGAAGCGGGGCGACCATGGTAGGCCTTGAACCCGAACCAACTCCCAGACTGTATCCTCCAAATTTGGGACAAGAGTCTTTATGTAGTTAGGCAAGTCCTCAAAAATCAAAAAAGGAGGATGACTAGAAGGTCAGAAAAGCCTGACCCAAAAGTAAAGGGTTGGACTAGATGGGTAAAAAATAGGGCATCACCCAATTAGTTAATATGACAAATAAGAGCTCCTTAAATCTGGTATATTGAAGATGAGTACCCAATACTTGCTCAGGTGCCAGATTTCAAAAACCAGCCAAAGGTTATACCCATACAGTAGATAAACAACTCAAAAATAGGTAATTACAATTATTAAAAAAAACTTTATTTCATATTTAGACACTTAATACTAATATGTGAACCAAACGAAAAACAGTGATCAAAAAAACTAAGTGCAGTGTGTGCTGGTGTTTAAAAAGGGGAATTCTAAGGAGCCTGCCTAATAAATCCAAAGTCTGAATGCTTGAATAGGTATCCAGGATGTAAGGTAGCTGCCCATGTAATTATATAAGTGCATACAATTGGGTATCTCTGTATATACACTTGGAGCTATTAGGGCAGATTATATCAGCCTTAATCCGGGTATACACGAGATCAGAAGGATCCATATTAGTCTCTGTAGAAAAAACATATACAGCTATAGTAAATATAGAGATTGAAGTAGGTGAATTAAAGAGAGTAGATGATTAATAGGTTACCTCTCCCTGTGTGCTCCCCAGAGAGGGATAGAGGTAAATAGGAGTTGGGAGATGAGAGTTAAGTAGTAGATATCAACTAACATCCCCTTAGGTTACTCCTGATTATATATTACTGCTAGATATACAGCAGAGTATCTGGGAATAGCAGAATAGAGCCTAAGTGGGTACAAAAGAGGATTATGCCCCACCAGGACTAAAAAAATGGCAAATTCCCAAGTGAGATACTATAACAGCTGGTATAAATATAGCGTGAAAAAATTAGGGTAAACCCCACATCCCTCTTCGAGTTTAAAGTCTCCAATATAGCTCAATAGTGCAGCAAAATATCTAGAGATGAGGAGACCTGGATGGTATAAAAAATGAATATCACCCCCCAGTCTCCAATGTAGCTCAATTATGCAACAAAATATCTGGAAACAAAAAAAGAGAGAGAAGTGGAATGGTAAAAGAAACACATATCTCCCCCAGGGCTAAAAAGAAGATGCAGTTTCCCAGTCAGATACTTATATGCTGTGCTACAGATTCTATCTTGTACTGCCAAGTATACTGTGTTACAAAGGCTATCTCAGACTGCCTGGTTGATGCTGCATGATATACTGTGTTACAAAAAACTATCTCAGATTGCCTGGTAGGTATCGCCTAGTATACTATGTTGCAAAAGCTATCTCAAATTGCCTGGTAGATAGTCATAATGTCACAGTCTCTAAACCCTCATGAGGAGACTTCCAAACAAGTCACTCATAATCTATGTATAGCTTCCATGGTAGTAGCTGATGTTACAGTTGATTTGTAATATGTAGTGCTAAGGCTCCATAGAAACCCCTAACTTAAAAGAAAAGAAAGCCTAAATGCAGCGTCTTTCACTCGACGCGCGTTTCGGCGTTATGTTCACGCCTTTCTCAGAGCTGGCTTTTGAAATCTGGCACCTGAGCAAGTATTGGGTCCTCATCTTCAATATACCAGCTTTAAGGAACTCTTCTTTGTCAAGTCCTCAAAAATGAATTTTGTTGCATTGTGACCTATTTTATAGATAAGCTAGTTTATGTTTAAATGACGCTTATTCTTCTTCCAACTTTTATCACTTTCCCACCATTTCAATATGAGATCTGCATAGTTCCTGTTTTATTTTCAAGGTGGCTAGTTCTACCACCTAGTTAAGCTAGGTCCTTGCGCAGATCTGTGGTCATTTGTTTGAAACCAGCCTGCAGGAGAATGTGCCATGTTTCCTCCGCCATCTAGAATTTACCTCTGGCGTTGTTTTTTATTATGGCGCATCAGATCGCTGATTTTTAGATGTTTGGAGGGTGCCATTTGGATAAGTGTGTTGGGCACAGTCATCTTGACTCAGTTTGAGTGTTGTTTGGACATTATGTAGGTGCTTTGAGCTCGTTGGATCTGCAACTTCTTCCTTCGGAAGTTGGCCACGCCCCATCGCAGTACAATGTTAATACAAATATTGGATCTGGACCAACTTTTGA